ATCATGAGGTATATGTGTCATCTATCATAGTTCTTTCTGAAGTCATTTTAATTTTTTTTATTTTTTTTACAATTCTTTCTAAATCAGGGTCGTAGGGTTAAAGATCCAAAGGTCAGGCACTACGCATACACAAACTAGGTTGATCTACTTAAGCGGCTCTAAGTTAACAAGAATACAACACAATGCAAGAAAAATTAAACAGCAAAAGAGAAAAAAAAACTAAAATAACACAAGTGCACAAATGAAAAACAAACAAATAACATATGATTAACAATGGTAAGAAGTAATATAAAGGTGCACAGATTTAACAGAAACACAAGAAACACTATCATGATATTTTGGATTTTTGAGTAAAAGTACAAGAAATAAAAACTATAAAGCAATTGACGATGTAACAAAATATTTTTAAAGTATAGACCCTAAAATTTCGACTAAATTTTCCTAACTTGGAATTCAACATCGTTTCTCTACAACAATGTCAAGAACTTGATACAATCCAAGTGAAACAAAACACAAGTGACTCATACAAATATATGTGTCATATCAGTAGTATACATAATGGAGTTTTGTGTATCAATTCCATAGAGAACGAACTAAATTCTAATATGAAAATGTTCTACTTTACTATCATCGGTTGTAGCTTGAATGGTTCAAGTTTTGAAGTTCAAAAAAGTTGTCCTAAATTCTTTTTTAAAGCGAGTGTACCCTAGCAAGCAAGAAAGAATTTTTAAGAGATTTAAGTGATGAGAGAATTTCACCTTAAATTGGTTAGGTGATGGATAGAATTATGAAAATAATCTCAGCCCAGTGTCAATCAGGAGCAAATTCTTTCTTATCCCCTTCCAAAAGTCTAAGAAAGATTGGTTGTCATGTGTTTAGTTCACTAAATCTCATGATCATCCCAAACAAAATATCTCCCTAAATGATTGTATAAACTCAAAAGTAATATCTCTATTCTAATGAGTTTACATTTCCACTAAGTATTTACATTTCCACTAAGTATCCTTCTGGATCTCAAATTTCACAAAAAAATAAGACTGTAAATTATGTTTAAAAGGTTAATAAAACACACTTAAGAAAGTTCCAAAGCAAATCACAAATGAAAACCTCAATTCTATCCTACCACATTACCAATCCAAGGAAAAACTAAGGGAAATTACTCACTATTCAATGTAAAACTCGTCAACATAATCTTTGAATTAAGCAAAGAAACCATACACCAAGTATTACAAGGAAATCCAAGTTAAAATACAAACTCGATTGTATTTATCTCCTTCCTTATATGAGCATGATGATGAAACAGAACCATAAAGTTACACACTTTAATTCTCTCAAGTACTCTCCTTTCTTCTCTCTAAAACACCATGTGAATCTTCCTTAGCCTTCTCTCTAAGTGCTCCATGCTCCAAAATGACAGAGAAGACCATTATTCATTCATTTGAAGCTTTTATATACTTCTCCCGATGAAGAGTCACGCCCAAATTACATAAACCATAAAATCATGTGAACTGGTGCCTAGGCACTATTCTGTGGCATGTAGGCACTCGTCATCGGAGTCTAGGTGCTATAGTTGTGGTTTCTAGTTTATACATTCTCAGGATGAATCTCTAGGAACTGGGCTCTTTATAATACCTAGGCGCTGGTCTATGGCGTCTACTTTCTACATCCAGGCTCCTACTTTTTGTGCTCTCTATCTGGTGGACAAAAATTTCATGGCCATCTCCTTGGGCATCTACTTTCAGCATATGGGGGTCTAGGCACTGGTCTGCGGTTGCCTACGTTCTGCATCCAAATGCCTAGGTGTTGGTCTGCAGGCGCCTACTTTCTGCATCTGAACGCCGGCTTTCTAATCCCTCATTTAGCAATTTTTTTAATTTCTTTAGCTTCAATGACTCCTCTTTCTTAAATCCCGCAAGACAGTACATGAATACCTTTCGAAAGTGCATTAAATTAAATAAAAAAACATATTAAAATAAAACAAGAACACATACATTTATATACACATCATGTGATGTTATTTTGAATGGATTTCTCCCGCATTATCACCGCCCAACCACTCAAATCAATCCTTACTCAATCGGAGTACTTCGTTTGGTTATTCAAGTGGGTGGTGGAGCTCAGGGAATTTTATATATTCTATGTACCTTGGACTGTGATCAAAGTACAAGTGACAACTAATTTTCTAGCAAACTTCTCCAAACCAAGTGAACGAGTAAAGAAACACCTACTGTTGACCTCATTTTTGGTTGAGGTCTAGAAATACCGAAAGCCAAACTAAGATGTTTCATATTGATAGAGCTTCAAGTCAGATAAGGGCAAGACTTTCCAAACCAAGTGAACGAGTGAAGAAACACCTACCGAAAGCCAAACTAAGATGTTTCGTATTGATAGAGCTTCAAGTCAGATAAGGGCAAGACTCAGTCCTTCTCTAACATGCCCAATTGGAGAATATGTCTACCACTCGATTGAAGTTGAGTTTGAAGTTATCAACAATCAGGTCGAATATAAGGCCTTGATCGTCAGTATGTGGCTTGCATATGAGATGGGAGTTTGGTACATCTTAGTGAAGTTTAAATCACAAGTAGCTGTGAACCAAGTCTATCATGCCCCATTTATAAGGCCATTGGCATGGAAATTATGGGAGAGCAATTATTACACTCTGAATACGAAATAAATGAATATACTAATGAATGTAATTCTCCTTTTCTTATCACAATTGTCGCTTCCAATAATTAAGAGACTCGAGAAACTTAAAAATATATATTAAATACACATTTGCATGAATCTCAATAAAATCTAACTGACAAAACTTACGAAGGAGTATAGCTATGAGGGCCTACAGGCGGAAGACCAGGGGCCCACAAATGGAAGACCAAGGCTTCACAGACGAATGATCAAAGATACATCAGTAGAAGACTAAGGAGTCAACACCATAAGACTAAGCATTCACCAAATGAATGCTAAAAGAACCATCCGACCAGGTATAACCCCTCTAAACTAGGGTTGAAAGTTGATCGAGCAAAAGTCATCTGAACCAAAGACTAGAGCCTATAAATTCAAGTGGAGACTTCGATTTGTCTCCTGCCATATCTCGACTCAAGGGAAGAAATTAAAATTGACACCTTCCTCACAGATGTCGTTGAGATCACAAACTGAGTATCGGGAATTAGCCATCATATAGCTACACTAAGCATTCCCAAAGAATCACCTCGTCGACGAGTAAGCTACTTCAATTACAGTAACTTACCCTCTGTCTGATAGTCGAGTATTGCTCTGCTGATAGGAGTTACTTATCTAGGGATCAATAGTCGACGACCAGACCAATATAAATAGCTGGCAAAACCAAGCCGACCGATCAAAGTTTTGTCAACCCAAAGATCATTGAGGTCTAATCAGCAACCCAATTTAGCGAAGGCAAATGAGCAAGTATTGTCGAACCAGGACAGACTAACTCCAGTCGACCAAGCCATAGGGTTGTCGAACCGAAAGCCTATGTATAAAATACATAAGATATTTTGTAATGCACCAATTAGAGCAGGGACACATATGTAACTTCATATTTTGTCGAACCAGGACAGACTAACTCTAGCCGACTGAGCCATAGGGCGGTCAATCGAAAGCTTGTGTATAAAATACATAAGATATTTAGAATGCACCCATTAGAATAGGGGCAAATATGTAACTATATTCCCCGCCTGCATCCCATACTCCATAAATAGGGGTATCATTTTCTAAAAAAAAAAGAATTAATCAACAATTCAAATTATTGTTCAATACCATAACTATATTCCCCAACAATCCCATCACCAACCCCAGACCAGAGAGGACTTATAACTGACAAGCATGAGCAAGTATTGTCGAACCAGGACAGACTAACTCCAGTCGACCAAGCCATAGGGTTGTCGAACCGAAAGCCTATGTATAAAATACATTAGATATTTTGTAATGCACCAATTAGAGCAGGGACACATATGTAACTTCATATTTTGTCGAACCAGGACAGACTAACTCTAGCCGACTGAGCCATAGGGCGGTCAATCGAAAGCTTGTGTATAAAATACATAAGATATTTAGAATGCACCCATTAGAATAGGGGCAAATATGTAACTATATTCCCCGCCCGCATCCCATACTCCATAAATAGGGGTATCATTTTCTAAAAAAAGAGTTGATCAACAATTCAAGTGTGTGCGTGTGTGTGTGTATTGTTTTAAAAAGTAGGAATGGCCTAAGGTTATTATGCAAGCTCCCACAGCCATCCCCGATGTGCCTAACAATTCGAGTACCACACCATCCACCGGGGTGAATCGAACCCCAGACCAGAGAGGACTTATAACTGACAAGCAGATGGACCAACTGATCTGGGCATACGGCGCATGTATATATATTGTTTAAGGTGAATATAAACAAATTTAGAAAGACTTCCACTCGTCGAACAACTCAAACTCGACTCAATTAAAACTAAATTATATTTGTTTAAATTAATAATTAAACAAGCTTGAATATTTTTTAAAAACTTGAAGCTTAAATAAATTAAACATAAACAAAGCAAAATTATTTTTAATTGAAAGATAAGAGTTCTAAGAATAATTTTGCTAAGCAGCCCTATCATCAGTAAACATCATAAAATATATTTGGCAGTCCTACCAAATCCCAATCCCCCACCCTGTTTTGGCTTATGCATGATCTACTCCATTAACCAGACCACTCGAGAAAAACAAAGAAGGGGGCACACAACTTTTAAGTATTTGCATTTACTCACACCTAAACTTTCATATTTACATACACAACACTTTGATGCTTTGAACATATGCATGAAAATGTGTAATTTACACTTATAAGTTATAATAGTGCTATTTTTTATGTGATATTAAAGATTTGAGTGTTTTGTGTGTAAATATAAAAGTTTCAGCGTAAGATATGTTAAATACATAAGAATTTTGTGCTGTGTATGTAAATCCAAAAAAATATAATAATAATAATAAGACGAATAAGAAGAATAACGAGAAACCCCAGAAATGGGTTTGCTGCATTGATGTGATGGCTTTAAAAGAGGCCAGCAGATACAAAAGGCCTAAAGAAAAAAATGAAAATTCTTTCTACACACGAAACATCCCCCAACAAATGCAAATTCAGAGCAATATTAATAACCAGGAGTTGGTGGGAGAATGAAGTACATGGTGGAGAATTGATCATCTCGGAGAGAAGACTGTGGCTAGACCATTATCAACCGTCAATTGGATCGGAGGTCCATAAGACATTAGATATCCTTCTTGGCCACACAAGTCGATTCCTTCTCCCAGAGCAACAACTTCACCATCAACGTCTACAATGCCTCCCTTTCTGGGGTCCCCTACACGGTTGCCTGGAACCAGCTTAAATGCTTTCACCTGAATCAATAATTCATTTGAATCACAACCAGTCCAGGAAGCCATCAAGTTTTTATAAACAATGAAAATTTCAGGTTTTTAAAAACTATGAAATTTGTTATATAATTCATTTTTGTTGTGGATGAAGATAGAAGTTGGCATTGATTTCTCCTGAAATATAATGATTTATTTCTTTTATATCATTGTTTTATAAAGTACAATTTCAGGTTTTGCATCCAAAGTAGACAAATAAGCCCTCAGAGGTGTTCTGATAGAGTAAGAAGAAGTCCAGGTGTTTTCTGGAGGTCTCACCTTCAGATACATCACATATGGTGATTTAATATGGGTTCCATCTTTCATCTTCAGCAATATTGATACAAGAGCGGATTTGGGGCAATCTTTGATCACAACCAAGTCCAGGAAGCCATCAGAAAACTGCAACACAAACAATAAATTACATGAAAAGGCATACAAGGAGTAAACATTAGCTGCAATGCGAATGGATGCCAAAATTATAATAATTCAATATCAGACTCAACATAATTAATAGTTGCATCCAAGCAAAATCACGCTACTGATTACGCAAGCCACCATCTTAAAAGCATTCGAGGAACTCAAAGCAAAATTCAAAAAATCAAATGCAGTAAAAATTATAAGAAACAACAGTTTTTTTTTTTCTTTTTTATATATACCAGTAAAATCCTAGAACCTGCATATGCAACACAAATATTACATGCAGTAATCCTTCGGTTATAAACTTTTAGAAGAGAAGAATATGCCTAGGCTTATAGATAATCAAACTGAGACAAAACTAAGTTGATTAATTGTCAATGAGTCATAGCAGCATGTTTGCAAGTCCATATGGCCTGCTCTATTTAGAATAAAGAACAAATCCTAAACAAAATAATGGTGAAGATGGAATACCTTGGCTTCAGGTGCTGGCATAGCATCTTCTCCAACCCAAGGCACATTTACAAGTGAAATAGATAAAAATGGGCCATCCAGAAACCTCCAATCTGAATTTTCAAAACAAACACTAGGGCCCCCATAACAACTTTGCAAAACTTCCGCAACACTGTTTTGTCCGTTTTCAGAGACATTATCAGTTCCCACACAGATTGTTCTACCTTTCAATGGTTCTCCACAGAGTTCATGTCCAGGGGCAGGAACAAACTCAACATGGCCATGGTATTTACGCAACTTCATTATTCTCAGAAGACACTGGACAGAAGAAATATTAACGTAAGACCAATCCATTAAACTGTGAAGTTAATAATTTTACATATAGACTTGTATAGATCAGTAAGGGAAAAAAAATCATTCACACAAAGGAATCAATAAAACCCTTTCACTGAAATAAATAATCCCCATCCTTACAGTAAAAAACAAGATGCGGATACAAAAACTGTAAACTCCATTATCTATTGGGCCTCTGGAAAACAATAAAAATAGGAATGGGGTGGGGCACATACACACAGACTTGCCTCTAATTTTTAGATACATACTTTCTATGATTAGTGTAGAATTATGAAATTAGAATGCTAGTAAATGCAAGCCACATTAAAAAAAAAAGAGGAAGAAAGAAAACAATAAAGAGAGGAACCATTAGCAGCTCTATAGTATTAAATCCATAAGGATAACCGAGAAACCACATATGCAGAATTAAAACACAAAACTACAGCATGAATATGGCTAACAAATGGATGAGTTTTAAGTAGCAGTTGTAGATCAACAACTGTAATGCACTACAGAAGAATAAGTGGCTGCCAAATTGTAAGGTAGGCATTTTCCAGCTGCCTATCTACTGCAAGCTTATCAACAATGAGCTGCTTATCCATTAGTGAGCTGCTTATCCATTAGAATATGTGACCACCAGATTATAATAGAAGCAACCAAACTAGTATTCCACCTCACCCAATGGATGTGGAGCATTATGAATAGTTTTGCAAAAAAAACTTCATGGGTTCCATGTTATGGCCACAAAAAAATAAAAAAATAAAAAAATAAAAAAATAAAAAATGAAAAAAAAAGAAGAAAAGTGGGAGCCGGTCAAATTTTGGGTAATGAATGGATGATACATTTTTCATGATAAAATCATCAGGAAATTAGACAAGTGCAATTCAATGGAAAGCTAACTAGGCAAATTGTTGTTGAAATTATTTTCAACCTGAAAATAGTATTGAAAACAGCAGAAATAGAAGAGGAAAAAAGATATGTGAAGGAATAAGAAGAGATGCGAAGCTACAAGTGCTGTATTAATTCATTTCAGAATAACTACATAACAGAATGGTGCTGATTAATAATAATAAAAAAAAACAGAATAATGCGAATATATCTACCATAGTTATATACAGAATAAACATAGAGATGTGTTTAGATTTGTTTTTCAGAGAAATACTCAGCAACATATACAGAATTCATCAATAAATGAAACATAATATTTTTAGCCTTCTCAAAAAATAGTGAAGGACCACAAATGTCTAAATGTATAAGATGCAGTGGTCACAAGCTGCAGTGCTAGATGTGGAAATGGGGATTAATAATTTGGCTTTTTGCATAATTACAGTAACTACATTTGAATTTACTATTTGAGATACACATGATAGAACTAGATTTGCATAGGAGCTAGAGAGTTGATTTATCTCACAAGCAATTATGCTATTCTTGATATTAGACATCAAGAACTTCAGTTGTCCATAAATTTATCTGTTACCAATGGTTAATACAGAGTCAACGGCCAATGGGAAGTTTTCTCCATGATCCATTATATGGATGGAGAATATCGAAAGAAACAAGTGTGGTGAGATTTTGTGGGCAGGTTCTAATACCAAGAAGAGATATGGATAAGGGGAGAAGGTATGAGAGAGGAATAACAGAGTAGAATCTATAGGTGCTGAATTAATTCATTTCAAAATTACTACATAACAGAACAGTGATCATATAAATGGGACAATGGGGAGCAGAAAAAAAGTTGTGGACAGAGCTAGTTATATCATATGCTGAAGATGCCATGCATTGCAAGTAAAAAGCTCAATGTGCTGGACGAACAAATAGTAGTCATCAGGCTGGTCCTGCTATTGGGACAGTATTGCCGTGCAAAAACTTCAGGCAGGCTTGAAGTTTGAAAAGGCAAAATTAACTTTTGCAAGCCTCAACATCCATCGCCACACAAAGATTTAGAACGGAAGCATCAGAGTTAATAATTCTTTATTCTTGTGTTCCAAAAAAACGCCAAAACATTAATAGTAAATACTGGAAGGCAAGGAAGAAAAAAAAAACAAAACCTATCTCATATCTTGAAGAAAATGTGAAACTTGAATAAAGGGCCTATAACTGCTTCTTTGATTAAGATATTACTGGTGTAAGAGAAGCTGGTCGTTTAAAGTTACTACATACTTCTAATGTAACATCCTCATGCTCTTGAGTGTTACTGTCTACATCATTCTTGTTCTTTATTAATAATATTGCTTCTGCGCCATATAATTCTAAGTGGAAAGCTAATCAAACTTAAGAGAATAAAAATACTAGAGAAAATGACAAAGGGATAAATTACACACATAGAAGTCCAGGCGAGTGCTCCCCATCCACCGGTACTTTTCAGACTCAATATCAATATCAGCTATTAATCCTGTATGCAAAGTTGAGCATTTAGAAAATGTTTGAAAGTTCAACAATGACTATGGTAAAAAGCCTAAGCAAACAATTAGAATTGCTAACACCTTCTGCACGAAGTATCAAAAATGGATGACAACTTAAACAATAAATAATATTAGTACGTGTTATCCATTGTTTTTTACATACCCCATGTAAGCATTAAGATGCTAAAGAACTTGGTTTCTCCTTGCAATACAGTAGTAACATCCAGTGCACGTTTATGGCCTGTATGAATAGTAAATTAGTGAAGAAAATTTTATAAGCAAAATGCTTAAAAAACACCAAAAAGAACACAGGGATATGACCTCTTATAACAGAGAAAGTAGCATTCTGGATCGAATACGTTTCTCCAATTGCATCCAAAAGTGATTTTGCCAGGCCATTTCCTGTACCTGCATTTAACATTGTATTAAAGAATAACAATCATTGGTTAATTAAAGGCAAATGTAAAATATCATTTCTAAATGAAATAAAATTTTGTGATTAAAGAAATCCAAATGAAAAAAGCTATATGCAACTATAATATTAAAATGGATACACAAAAAGAAGAATAGATGCACATACTAACAATGACACATCAGGGTTCAGATGGATACGGGAAGCTGAGTAAGAAATGAGTGAATGGGTTAAAAATTCTTTAGTTTTCATATAATGGCTGTAGCTATTCTACAGCAAAATAGGTGGTCTTGCAGATTAGCAGCTCATCAAGTATACCTGCAGGAATGATCCCAAGCGGCACCTTGATTGCAGTATCCCAGTCTTCTCTTTGAAGCAACCCATTCAACACCTAATCAAAAACAAAAAAAAAAGCGAACAACGAAATAGAGTTGAAAAACATATAAAATAAAATACTTCGATAACCATAAAATGAAACTGTTCAAACCACAAGATGCATTGCTAACCTCCACAAAAACACCATCTCCGCTGACACATACAATACCGTCATACTTTAGCAGATCCAATTTATAGGCAAGTTCTTGAGCATGAAGCTGATACTTAGTTTCTGAAAGATGACGCAAGATGAAATAAATTACATCTGACATTCAGCTGAAAAAAAATAGAAACGAAAATAAAACCACTTGAACGTAAAAGCTCACCAACCTTGCAAGGTATACAGAATATTAGCCGCAACAAGTAGGGGCTTGATTTCAGTGTCAAAAATCCTTCGTGCAGACCTCTTTCCACCATAAGGGTTTAAAATAATAAATACCCTCTTTGGCCGGCCTATTATTATGCAAATAAGGAGCAAAATTCATTAGTTCATCTGATACTCATAGTCAACTAAGATAAATTTTGTAAAGTAAGAATTAAGAAATATAAAGAACATATTAACCAGTTTATATTAACCATATAAAGAAATATAAATCCAGTTCAAACAAGATGAGCATTAAAGGCAAGAAAGATAAAAGTCAGCAAAAAAATTTTTAAAAATCTAAGATGATCTAGGGAATCTATTGACATTGAATGAAAGGAGGAACAATGGTAAAAGCAAGATAATTTTTTTAGTGTTACATCACCACATTCATGTAGCCGAGCCCACTTAGAGGAATAAAAGATAGTAGTTGTTTTCGTTGTAAATCACCAAATTCACTAAAATCATATGAGCCTACATTCAGTATCAGAGGAGTTGGCGTTGATATAGATTAAGAGTTCCATCCTCAATTGCACGAAGGTCCTATGTACAACGATAAAGATAGATAAAGTGCATATCGTATGGAAAGTTCGGGGTAAAAAAACTATGGAGCTCAACTTTGTAGAAACAAATCTAGCATCTTTGAAAACCGAAGTTTGCTCATCCTTATAACTAAGAGATATGGGAATACAGTGTAAGAATTTAGTTGGATATTGTCCCCCAGGTGTTTGTAGGAGGTAGCAACATCAATCAAGGATAAAAAACTCAGCTGACTATGTTGGTGAAGGCAACAACAATGAATTGGTACATGACACTAAGACATTATTTCACCAAGTAGTTAAGCGACTACACACTTAATACGTCGATGAAGGGGGAACAAGGAGCAAAAAATAAAGTTATTGATGTTGATTGGAAGGCGCTCGCTGATGATGAAAGGTGATGACTAGTATCGGGCATAGGACATTTATTGATGGACCTCAGTTAGTCGATGGAAAGTTATTCAAACTGAAAGTGAGACCGGGCGGCTACTTAAAACGCGTATGTTGAATGTTTATGGTCAATACAAGTTGGATGTTGGATGTTGTGGTTGTCAGATGACCGTGAATGTTATATGACAACGATTGATGGATATCTGGTGAATTTGCAAACAATATGGTGGTCATCTGATGGAAAGGTAGTTAAAGCACCATAATTCTCTATAAATCCTAAGCACTCCAAGTGTAGAATGTGAAAAAACAAGAACTAAAATATAGTTATGGAACTTGAATAAAGTAATTTTACTCATATTTTAAATTATATTAAACATTTCCTAATCTAGTCAGAAAAAAAAAAAACTCACAAGATCACACCCTCTGTTGATCAAAAAGTGGTTTGGCACCCCTATGCTAGCCTTATCAACTTGCCCGGACCACAACAAGACTAAATTGCATATCGGCGGTTCACAGATAGTGGTTTGGTGTTAATTGTTGGGAATAGAGTTAACTCTTAACATAACTGGAACAGTGAAGTTGATAGATAACAAATCTCATAATCGAATTGTACAAAAAAAAAAAAAGAACATAGCTTATACTTGCCGTTATTAGACTAAGACAATGAATGAACGCAACCTTGGAATTGATTTACGATGAGAGAAATCTAATGCCACTAGCGGCTTGCCAATCAAATGTCTATGTGAGCGGAATGGAGTGTCCATTAGGTAATAGAAATTTTCTCTACAAAGCTTTTAACATATGAATTGAGTCAAATGTATGTACAAATTGAGGTTTATGTTGGAAAAAATTGAAATTTAGGTGTTAGATATATAATACATACGAATTGTCTGATTTGTATGTAAAAGTATTTAAGTGTAAGATATGTCAAACATAAGAAATGAGTGAAATGTAAGTAAGAAATTGATATTTATGTTGTAGATATGTAATACATAAGAATTGTATGATTGGTGTGTAAAAAGTGAAGTTTATTTGTTAGAAATGTAATACATAAGAATTGTCTGGAGTGTATATAAAATTAATATTTGGGTGTATTATTATATAATACATAAGAATTACATAAGAATTGAGTGATATGCATGTAAAAACTGAAGTTTATGTATTAAGACATATAATAAATATGAATGAAGTGGAATGTATGTAAAATTGAAGTTTAAGTTGCAAATATGTAAAAGAAAAAAATTGTGCAGTTTTGCGTGTAGAAATTGAAGTTTAGGTTTTAGATATGTAATAAACAAGAATTGTGTAGTTTGTATGTAATGATTGAAGTTTGGGTGATAGTTAGTCTACCTCTGCGCAGTCTGATTTTGAGATGTGGAGGAAGGTGGCATGGAAGAAGGGAGATGTACGACCTAGGAGCAAAGAGCATTGTGTTTGAGGTTGAGCTTTCTGGAACTACTTAGGAGGTCCAAGGTCATCATCATCAGAATACGAGGAACTTACTCGTGTGTCAGTACTATGTCTGAGGAGCTCTGTCAGCTACATGTGGGCCAGCAAAAAGTTGATGAGACTATAAGGAGAGGAGGGAGAGGATGATAATGAGTTTAATGATGATGTCTCGTGGGAGTTTATGTATTTTTTCTAATTTAATATTTGGAAATATTTTCTTTGTATATATATTTTGTATTTTAGACATACACTTTTACAGATTTTGAGTACTGTTTGTTAAATTTCATTAATTTTTATTATTGATACTTGTTTGTGCAATATATTGTGTTGTGTTAATAAAGAATAAATGTTTTGTAAAATTCATTGTGTGTCTATTCTAACAATCTGATAGTTATTTTTTCTTTTTAATAAATTTGTTACAAGTTTGCATCGGCGTTGTGTCGGAAATTCCCAATGCTAATACCTTTGATACATTCTACGCTAATCAACCTCTCCAACAAAAACATAGATACAAATGACGATGTAAGTTTGCATCTGCAAAAAGTGAAAACAAATTTTGTAGTTAATTTTTAGGTCGGCACGAGTTGCGTCGAAGCTAAGCTAACGTCGATAATATCAGATGCTAATATCGATGCAAGTTGTTTGTGTCCGATATGTTCAACGCTAATTGTAGTTGCGACACCCGGTTTTGCTTGGAACATATGTCCAACACAAATTCACTGCTAATATTGCTTTGCATCAAATTATTGTTATGTTAGCGTCAAATTTATCAATGTAAATTTGGCAAAATCCTGTAGCGTCTCAAAAGCTCGTAATTTGTAGCTTTTAAGGGTTGCAATGACTTGCAAAATTTATGATTTTCATATAATTTTTCAACAAATTGTGCAAAAATCAGAGTTTGACACCATTTGAGGGGTATATAGGTTACTCCTAAGAACCAAAATCTGAGGATGGACATGATCAGCCAAACAACTAGCTAAACTGGAATAGGCTGGAGTTGAGAGTCAGCAACTTTTTTGCTTAAATCCAATTTGTTTTGCCTATAGCATGTTTGTGCAATTAAGAGTTTAAATGAGCTCATAATTGCAAGACTTTGATTTTGTTGAATTTGCCTTGTTGAAAAACATTACTTCATAACTTTATTCTTAAAATTCCTAACCAAAATATTGAGTGTTTCTATTTATGTTTTACCAAAAAAACACATAAGAAGTGGTTCTTGTATGGATTGATTCTGCAAGTCATATCATCTACAAACTTACAAGACTTTGAAACAGATTATAACTATTAAGTCCTAGTACAAAGACATGAGCAAGCTTATGCACAACAATGCATAAAGGGAAAAAAATACGCTGAATTAAAACAAAGTTCAGAAAACTCATTCAGCCTTGGCTCAAGGAAAATTCAAGTTATCATGAATTTAAGAGTACCAACAAATAGAGACATAGAATCTTCTTCTTCAATTAAAAATAATTAATTGATTTTACAAACCATATCTGGTACAAACTTAGAAGATTGTGCAACCAATAAAACAATTCAAGACGAAACACAAAGAAAAGAGAGACTGTATGCAAAAAGCACGCAGAAAGGGAGAAAACCTAAAGCTGAAATAAAACAAGTGCAGGATCCTAGTTCCAGTCACAGCTTGAAGAAAAAAATTATACAAGACATTCTTCTACATATAAAAATATCCGATAGATTTTAGGAATAATATCGGCCGCAAAGTTAAGAGATGGAGAAGCCCGTAGAACTAGTAAATCAAAGGACAAAGAAGAGAGAGATTATGAAGTAGCACGCAAAATGGGAAAAAACTTAAAGCTAATTTCAAACACTTTCTGGATCATAGTTCCAACTTTAGCTCATAGAAAAATGTTAACTTATCAAGAATTTAGGCGTATCAACAAAAAGAGACAATATCCTCATCTTCATGTAAGCAAATTAGTTGCACCATGAAAAAACAAAAAAAAAAAAAAAACTATTACAGAATAGAAAACAGAAGCTAACTTAATTCCAAAAAACTCCAACTCAGCCGATGATCTAAAACAGCATCAAGTAAGAAGAAAAGAAACAATTAAAGACGAAAGTAGACAACTACCAAATCAAATAGTTCAATATCGATTCAAATCTGAAAAAAAAAACCAGAATCCCTCAGGATTTCCACAAACAAAACAAAACCAAACAGAAAAAGGGATAATTGCAAAACCAACTACCTAAGGAATGGATAAAATCCCTAATCCGATCGCTCCAACTCTCGGTGATCACCTCTGTGGGCATCTCCAGAACGAAGTCCTTCCTCAATCTCTTCCCCAACTCCCCTTCTCCACCCCTAAACTCATTCACATAAGCCCTAAGTGTAATCTCCCTTCCCTCCGTCGAGAAGCCCAGAATCTCAGACTCTATTGCGAGACTCTTCACCCCACTGCCGTTGAGACGCCACTGCAGCTCACCATCTGTACTCAGAGTCACCTCTGCCGGTGCTCCATTCACCCGGATCATCTCCCGTATCGCTTGCACCATTTCCAAATCTCAATGGAGCGTAGAAAAAACAGAGATGGGCTGGAGTCCAAGATGCGTGTGAAGCTGCATTGGCGCCTTAAATAAATATAAATTAAATAAATAAAACGTCGGAGTGCAGGTGGCTACTGCGGATGGAGATGTAAAGGTGGTGAAGTGTAGTATTGTTAACTTAATAAAACATAATTGTGTTTAGGCTCGTCTTCGGCTCGTTATAAAATATTATTATCCGAATTCGACTCGTTAATATTACTTACAAAACTATTTATTCGTGTTTGGCATGTTTGTTTAGCAAGCCAAACACGAACTATTCAGGAACAAAGAATCGTTTTAACATCACGTAATTGTAGGATTTTAAAGGTTGACCCGAAATTTAAATATTATTATTTTTATTAAAATATCATTAAAATATAACATAATATATTTTTTCTATGCCTTGAATTAATAATATTAATTGATCATAAATATTATAGCATCGATATCTTTGATTGGCAGAGTTTGTAAGCCCCCTGGGGTCACGGGTTTGATCCCTCCTATTTGTGGGATGAAATTCTTAAGTTCATGAGGTTGGTCTGGAGTCTCATGTAATAGCTTCTAATCAATCTTTTTTATATCCTCTAATCAATCTTTTTTTATATATATATATATATATATATATATATATATAACACGAACGAACAATTTTTGGTTCGTGTTTGTCTAGTTTATATATATATATAACACCAACGAACAATTTTTTGTTTGTGTTTGTCTAGTTTATATATCGAGCACAAAAAAATTGTACAAGATTGGCTCGGCGAACGAATCGAACATGAGCTTCTAAAGAAATCTAACATGAACTGTTCCTGCATCACCAGCTATTTTGAGAGACCTAATGAAGTGAGCAATTGAGGAACGGGTTAAAACAGGTAGATATATATCATATCGTGCGGGAATTCCACACGTCAGACTACACCACTAGTTCTAGTTTGTTTGAAACTTGAAGATAGAAATATTACCAACAAAGCTAGCCAATCATCTAGACGATGAAAAGCATTCGAAAAATATAATAGAAGTTGATTGAAAAGCGGACGAGCATGCACATCCTAAACATCTAATAGAGACAAAATAAAGATAAGGTGGAACATGCTCATTTGATCAAGTTTTTATTATAATGAATATCAATATTATTAAATTTATGTAAAAATAAATACAATATAAATTTCTGAAAAATTATTTATATATTATATTAAAATTAAAATAAATTTTAAATATATAAATTCATCTTAACATTTTGGGAGATTTATATATTACAACCCAATTTCTCTGTAGTGACGTGCCAATCATCTAAACTACAATTTTTATTAACAGACAACTGATGTCGAAAATATAGGAATCGAGTGGTCTAAACATAAAATTAAAGTTTGTGTGGTAGATATGTTAATACATCGGAATTAGGTGTTGTGTATGTATATATATAAAGGTTTGAATGAGTGATCTAAAGTTTTTTTTTTAATGTTTTGTTGAGTAAACTATAAAGCGTTAGTGAGTGGTGATGGTAGTGGACTGTCTCGGTAGCTAGCAAAGATGGAGCAATCGGCAAATGTTGGTGGAGTGATGAGTGATTGTTAAAGGGCAAATCGACTCATAGTGGGTAGGATTGTATCAATTGAAGTTTAGTTGGTTACATTTGGATTTGATTATACTACAAGTTGTTCAAGTTTGGATGGGGCTCACTTTCACATGTTTGCTCATACATAGATTGATTAATATGTTTAAATATCGTATTTAACTTGTCTTTGATTTGCTCATATTAATTGAACCAGTACTTCAAAGAATTAATAAATAATCTAACATTCTAAATTAGTACATGGCTTTTCCATATAAGGCTATTAGCAAAGAATTTACAAATCTAAATACATAAAAAAATTGAATAAATTTTGAATTAGTATCTAACTAGTTTTACACCATTAAATAAGATACTATGTAAGTTACAAGCAAGCTTTATTATGATCAAATACTATAAATAAGTAGTAACAAACTATTTCATTTAATAAAGAAATAAAAAGTAATTGTATTAATTATAATGCACATCCACATTAAATTATAATATGTTATTATTAAGTATAAGATTAAATATGTTCAAGTTAATAGTTATTTTAAATTTTATATCATATATAATTAATGCTACTATCAAGTTTATTATAGAGCATTTAACACGTTACTTGTTGAATAATAAGATTTTTTTAATGAATAAACATTATTTATTTGAATCATATTCAAGTTTGTTTCATTTAACCTGTGAGCCTTTGAAAATTATTCAAACTGATTTATTCACTAAAATGAACAAACTTGATTGACTATTAGTCAAGTTGAGTTCGAGTTATTCTTCGAGTACATTGGTTCATTTACAACTTAATGGTAGGCGGCTGTGATGATGACCGATGGTAGGCGGCAGCAAGGGCCAAAATTTTACACTAGTAGTGTTTTTGAAATTTACTAATATCTAACAAATTTTGATTACATTCAAATTAAACTAGAGAGTGAACTCCAAATGCATTTAAAATTTAAAGTGCATATATTTTTCTTTTCATATAATATTAGAATTTTTAAAATCCCTTCATTCATTTTCAATACACTACTAAAATCCCTCGAAACAAATAATAAGATTTTAAGAGACTATGACTATACAGTATTAGGCATGTATGAGTTGGGTTTCTCTTTTTACATTATTTACCAAAATTTAATTTTGGTGCCTTCAAATTTATATTTTCCTTTAGAAAGTGACTTTTTTTTTATATTGAATAACCAGTAACTATTTTTTAGAGCATTCTTTTGTGATGTATTAAATAAAATATGCATCAATTGGATTATGAGTATTTGTTGATCAACTTAACTTTAGAATTTAATGAGTATTTTGTCATCTTTTTTTTTCCAGTTTTTAATGGCGCTTTTCAGTTACATTGATTCTATCAAAGTTATCTAACAAATGTAGCGTACCAATGCTAGAAAGATAAGTAAAAAATATTAGCTACTTTTGCAAGCTTTGGAGGAAAAAATAAATAAGAAACTTTATCAATTTTGTCTCAGCCACTTCAAAAGGATAAAATGTAGCTGAGAGTTTCTTACTTTGCTAAATTTGTAACTTCATACATAGTTTAAATATTTATAAAAGCATAATTTCCTCAATCTCTATGCTCTTTGGATCAAAATATCACATATGAATGCAGTCGTTCCTAAGTATGATGAATCTTCTCAGTTGTTTCATCAAATGATTGTGGTCCTAAAATTTCCTCTCACCAACTTAAAACTAATATAGAAGAGACCTTCATTTTCTTCTAAAAGAATCTCTATAAAATGTCATATCGATGTAAGGTTGAAAAGTATTATTATATAAGAACTTCACAAGTGAGATTTAATCTTCATAGTTTACTTGAAAACCAAGAATGCAAGCCCTTAACAAATCTTCTAATGTTTGAATATATTGATCAAATTAGTCATATATTTGAGGTGAAACTCAATGTAGAAATTAAATTCATACCCAAAGCTTCATTCACATTCTAAAAAAATCTAAGAGTAAGACTTCCTCTTAATTAATGATGATGGTGGTTAAAACTTAATACGATCAAATAGTATCATGCATGTAAGACATTGTTAGCTTTTTTAGTGTGTAGTTCTAAATAGTTAATAATAATATTGGGATCTCATTGAGTCTATCAATCGCAACATAGATAATATAATAATTTTTTTTTTAAATATAGTCATATCAACTAAAATATATTTTAATCTTCCCCAACTTTCATTCAAAAATAGAATGAGTTTCAAATAAACCATTTGGTTTTCATGTTTAGCATCGACCATGCATGAAGAAAGACATTTAGTTTCAAGATCTATCATGTCATTCTTCATATTAGGTCATTAAATATGCTTTTTGATATTTAAAACATCTATGTTCTCTTTAAATGGATATAATACAAATTTGTGCTTCTTGAAATATTATTTTTAACTAGGACATGCTTAATTTGGAGTACATAATCAATTATTAAATATCAAATGAACAACATGATCAAGGATGAACATCGGTTCCAATCATTATGTCATGAACAACATGATCAATGATGAACATCGATTCCAATCATTATGTCATGCTTTCTAAGCTATACTAGTTCATCATTCCATGTTTAAGTTGTATGAATCTGGGTTGCTATTATTGGTTTAATAATTATACTATATACAATGAGAATTTCTTCTAGAGATATTTTCTTAAGCTAAAGTCACTCTATCTCAAGCAATTATTGATTCTCCTAAGAATTCATCTAAGCTCTTGTTGATGAAAAAATGTGATGATGCAAAAATTTATTTCTTATAAAAAAATTTGGGAGAAGATAAAAAAAGAGATTCAATGAGTTAAAACCAATAAAATTTATCTAAACGTATATAATAATTAAGTTCAAACTAAGTCAAATAGATAATATGGATTCATTAGTCCTCTAAAAGACCTAGGCTCACTTAGATTAATTACAAAACTAAAAAATAACTCAAAAAATTTCCAAAACTATTAAAGGCTTACATGTATTTTAACTTACTTACTAGTTTAACATTAAGAAAGATTCATAATTTATAGAATATTTTCTATCTTAATAGGATACTTTATGCTTTGAAAATGGTTAGTTCATAAGGTAAATGAAGAATCTCAAACCAAATAAGATAACTCTTTATATATAAAACTATTTCAGTAACAAATTTTGAATTATCAAATACAAGCATAAATTATAATGGTGGGAAAGAATAAAGAAGTCAATTAAAGGTTGAAATATTCTACTTAGGAATTTATGAATTTTTCATTATAAGTTATGAAGCTTAAAATCAATCTGTCATACAAGTAGTCGATCAAAACCAATTATAAGATACTCTATCACTAATCACAAACAGTGGCATCTAAGTTGACCTTTTGATATCAGATATTAAAAAAAGTAATTTGAGATCCTTAGGCAGATAATAAAAGTATTAAAGATTGAAAAGATTTCAAGCATATATTTTTTAGTAGTATTATGATTATATATGAAAAAGAGAAATAAATTAGAAATTATAGCTTCTCATCTCGGGTAA